GAGTCCTGTTTCCCCAAATTGAAAAACACATTTTGTGGATAATTCTTTAATTAAATATTTGTTTCTGTGTTATATGTGCGATTTATCACTTTTTAAAATATAAATACAGAAAGATTGGACGTCCGTTGAGATGAACCAGTGATATGTGACCAGTGAATTTCTCCACTGTGAGATCAATAAAGCTTATCTAATTCTCTAATCTAATCTAATTTGAACACTCCACAGCAGCTAGCAAAAATTTTTAAGAATTAAATTATCAGACCAGAGCAAAAAATGATTCTATTTGTTCCTGCTTCTCTGTAAATATTAGTATTTTTAACCATACTGTTTTATAGTTTTAGCTTGAAAGGTTCAGTTTTATGGGGTCAAATTTGTTCCATTATTGCTGCAAGTAAATAAAAAATGTTACTGAAAAAAATGCAATCCAGAATCCAGAAATGAAAATTTGAAAATTCTGTTAAACTGTTTTGTTAGATTTTATTTTTTTTCCCAATATTTATTTTTTACAAACGTTTTTTTTAACAGATTTATTTTTTTCAAATTTAGCCTTTTTCTCATTTAGCTTTACAAATTGCATTCCACTCAAATTGCTTTTTTCAGATCATATTCCAGACCAACACTCCAACCTGACCAATGAAGCTTCTCTCCTCACTAAAGCAGAAGCCAGAAGTGAAGGAAACACGAATAAATATAATTTAAAAGGAATGCAATTCATAAAACAAAAAATAGAAAAAATAAGAATTGAAAATATAAAATGTGTAAAAACAAAACTTTGAAGAAAAAAAACATTTTTAAATTAAAAAAAGAAATCAAACTAAACAGCAGCTCTCAAAACCTTCTAAAATCTTATTATTTTTGGATTATAATTCTTTTTTAAATTTTCATTTAAACAATATGTTCTTTGCTTGTAAAAATAATGGAGCAAACTTAACTCCATATTTAATGCATCTGCAATGAGAAAGAGAAAGAGTGACTGTCACTGTGCTGCAGCAGGGAATCACCTCAGAGGAAACAATGAGGAAGACGCAGCAAAGTCTTCATCACTCTTACTCGGTATTCGCCTTTTATAGTCTCTCTCTCTCTGTCTGTCTGTGTCTCTCTATCATAAACCCATCGCTGCTTCAGGCTGAAGCTAAACCTCACAGCAGGATTTTTTATCTCCTTTATGGTCAAACTAGAATTAATTTTCTGTAAAATCGAAAGAGAAACATGAATTTATTTAAAAAAAACGGTTCAAATAGACGGCGGTAAGAAAAAGAAGCAAACCCATTTCTGGGGAAACGCTTGTTTCCAACCCTCCATGTGTCGATAAGGTGATCAGTATCCAGTTAAAACGAATCCCCATCCAGGCCAGAGACGGGCTTCCATAAACCTGACTCTACTGTGGGCCAGTCTCAGAATAACCAGACACGGCAGGTGAAGCTTGGTTTGTTTTACAGCACAGCATATAAACATGAGTGCAGCTAAGGCTGAAAACAGTAAAACAAACTCTGGGAATTTATTCATCTAAGAACTAAACATCAACTTCTGAGGATCTGGAGGTTAAAAGTATAAATACAAACTAAAATAAAAATTAGACGATAAATGGGACCTTTTCACCGCCGGGGCAGAGCTTGCAAAGCCAGAATGAAACTCAGGAAACTTCAGGTTGGTGGATCAGTGAATTTATTCAGACTGATCCGGTTTTATTTCTCTGTAAAATCTGATTATTTATTTCTGTGCAGAAGAAGAGTTGAGCCCAACCATGAGTCACATGTTGTGCTAAAAGTGAATCATCCACGTCCAATCACTATGCAGGACTCTATCGCTTCCAAGAAGATAACTTACTCCCACAAAAAGATCCCACATAAATAAGCAATGAACACCCAATTTTATGTTTTTATGATTTTTTTGTTTTTTTGTTTACCAGCATGATGAAGCAGGTTGTCAGCAGGTCAGGATAGAGAGGCTTTAAGATCCTCATCATTGATTGGTTCAGAGATCAGGAAACGATTCAGACATCAACTCTACAGAGAAAACTATGGTCTGATCTTATAAGAGGGATAAAAACAAGGTTTTTTTTTAACTGGTGGTGGACTAATGGAGGAGTTGAGAACTTTATTCAAAACTAATCATTAACTACTTGTGAAAATATAGTTAAAATGGAGCAGACCTCATTTTATAGTAAAATTAAGATGTTAGATGTTGGAAAATAGATCAGGTATCCGATCTGACGGCACATGAGGCCTTAAGGATGAGGCAGCTGAGCCTCACAGCTGCCCACACGCAGCTTTAACAAATTAAATAAAATAAGATTGCTAGAATGATCTGAAGAGACCAGAATAAAGTGACAAACTCTCCAAGTTGGCAACACTAAACCATTATCTCCAGTTTTCCTGCAGAGAACAGAGGAGCTCACTGTCGCCACCAGTTAACTTTATATGCCAGCAAACTTCACAGCGAGACAGACAGTTCCTAAAAAGACAAGTTAAAACTGTGAATATGATGAGATTATTTTTCTGTTCACACATTTCACATCTCTGTTTGGTCCATTTTGTGAACAAAATGACATTTTTTCAATCTTTTTCTGTCTCCGATAGAAAAAATAAACTAATCTGAACCCTAAAATGAACCAAAGAATGAATTCCATCATCCAGCATGGCT